GGTTGGCACAATAAACCTTAAGTATCTCACCCAGCTATCAAAAGATATAGAGTATTGGGTCTCAAAGGCTTTAAGTTAAACAAGTGGCCATCAAGCAGGGAAGCAACAAGCCCACATGGAAGAAGCACACCAGCCTGTGCGATCATGAGGTGTGGATGGAATCAGGTAACAGGCATCAGAAGACTCAAAGAAAACAACAACAAAAAACATATTGTTGATAACTAGGGGGGTTGGAGCAGAGACCCAAAATCCATATGTAGACAATAGGATATCCCTTCACATATGGATGACAAAGATGGGATGAGTCAACTAGGGTACAGTATAGTGCCGATGAAACACACAATGTTCCTCTGGTTCTTTGAGGCTTCCTCACCCCCCACCATCATGACCCAGTTCTGCTTTTCAGTTCTGGCCAGGCCAGAGCATGTACACTGGTACAGATAAGAGCTCATGACACAGGAAATCCAGGTCAGATAAACCCCTCGGGAATAGAAATGGGAGTAGCAATAACAGGAGGGCAGGGAAATGGGGGAAGGAGTGGAGCAAGGGGGAACTGAGTGCAATGACTGATGTGTAACCCACTGCTCCTAAGGGGACAAACAACAGAAACATGGGGGAAAGGAGACATCAGTCAGCGTAAGATATGAAAATAACAACAATTCATAATTTATCAAGGAGTCACGATGGTGGGAGTGGGAGAATGGAGAAAAAAAGAGGAGCTAATACCAAGGGCTCAATAGAAAGTAAATGTTTAGAAAATGATGATGGCAACATATGTACAAATATGCTTGAAACAATAGATGTATGGAATGCTATAAGAACATTGAGAGCCCTCAATAAAATGATTAAAAAAACAAAGAAATAAAAATAATTGAACTATTCAGCACCATGGCAGTGTACAAGACCAACATACAAAAAAATAAATCAGAATCTTGTATATTAGTGAAGGGAGCTCTGAAAATGTAATCAAGAAAAAATTTCCATCACGATAGCCACCCCAAAGATGAAATACCTATGAATAAACTTACCCGGAGAATGAAAAGACTTGTACAAAGAAAACTACAAATCCCTACTATAAGAAACTCAAAGAGACCTCCATAAATGCAAGAATGTTCTGTGTGCATGGTCAGGAAGACCTAACGTTAGGAGTGTCAAAACTACCTAAAGCAAACTATAAATGTAATGCAATTTGGATCTAGACTCCATCATCATTATCTGAAGAGATGAAAAGACGAATCATTCACTGTCTGTGGAAAGGAAAGAGATCTAGGATAGCAAAGCGCTACTACAGAAGAGGAAAGTGGAAGGCCTGCACATCTTAACCTCAAAGCCACTACACAGCCATGGTAGACAACACAGTCTGGTCCGGCTACAGTAGCTACGCAGACCAATGGAATAGAATCGAGAACCTAGGACTAAATCTATCCAACAATGTTTGACAGAGGGCTGAAAAAACACCAAACGGGGAAGAGACTTCAACAAATGGTTTTGGCAAAATTGCATTTCTATTTATAGAACTGAATCCACACCTCACTCCATATTAAAAAAATGTGCTCAAGACGTATTAAAGATTTAACAAGGTAGAGAGTGGATAGGTCTCAACTTAGCAAAGGGGAAAATCATCTATAAGAAAAGAGAGATGGAAAAAATGGGGGGAAGGTACAGGACAAGCTAATTGGAGGGTTGGCAAATTGGTAAATGACAGACTACAAAAATAGTAATCTGATAGATATCGCCCATCTAATTCACTCTAAAAAGGTGTTTTTTTTAAAGCACCTAAAAGATAAAAGTTTTACTAATCCATGTTCTTCCCCCAAAGATTCAGTTTGTCCTGAAAAGCCCCTCTTTATTTTCCATTTTTGCATGTTTTAAAAATGTTCTGGTATAATCTGTGAAATAATTATTCATGAAATATATAAGTCTTACAGACTTCAACCCAGTGCTCCAAGATGTGAATGCAACATGCCAGTGTGGAGTAGGGAACCAGTGGAGAGGTCTGGGGGGCCAGCTCCAATCCTAACTACTTG